CTGCTTATAAGTGATTTTAGGGACACCTGTGTGGCTCAGTGGATTAAGCATCTGACTCTTGATTTCTGCTCAGGTATCAATCTCAGGGTTAAGATCAAGCCCCAGGTCCAGGGAGACTGTTTGATAGTCCCTCTCTCTTCCTCCCCATCTGCCCTTCAATCCCTCCTTCTCTGTCCCTCCCACTAACTCAAGCGCCTGTGCCAGAGTGCTCTCTTTCTAAAAAAAAAAAAAAAAAAAAAAAGTTATTTTAAGTACTGTATCATTAGAAGTCGAGTCTCCAACATCCTCAATAAGGAATCAACAGTGACAGAGAACTCACTCACTATTTTGTGAGACAGTCTACTTTGTTTTTCTGAATACCAACCATTGTTCCTAAAACTACTATTTGGAGTCTCAATGTGATGATAAATTCCTTATCTCCTCCTATTCATCTTGCACAGCAATAAAAAAATCCTCCTTCCAGAGATTATTATACCTGTTAATTAAACCATTTTGTCAGACTTAAAAACTTTGTGTTGTCTTACAACTAAAAAGTCCAATCAATTACCAAGTCTTGTTGATTCCATTTTGGAATCTAGCCTCCAGTTTCACATATAGAATACCAGCATGCCTGCTATCATAAAGTATATATCATAAGGCCAACCCTAATACAATATGGAAGGAGACTATACAAGAATATGAATATCAAGAGGGAACATTGAGGACCATCTTGGAGTCTGGCTAGCACACAATATGACAGGAAAGATGACCACTGACAATGTTAGGATCCCTGGGGAAGAGAGTATCTTTCCTGATGGGTCTAGCAGAAAAATTCTGGAGATAATATTAATTGGCTCAACTTAGATCATATGACTACAGATGGTCACATGATCCAATAATTATGACCTAAGAATAGACTTTCCCAGTTGAGTAGATCAGGGTCATGTGCCTACTTGAGGATTTTGAGGGAAAATGGTACCTCTGCAACTGAACCATTGAATCCGAAAGGAAGGATGCCAAACAGAAAAACATCATTACATCCTCTATTATACCTCACCTTTCAACTGCTTCACTGGTCTTCTAAACATCCTTATATTACCCTGTCTCTTTGCCCTCCTTTTCAAATGGCACAAGGCTGACAAATTACTCTAAGACTCAACTTGGATCAAGCTTTTTCTTTTATCAAAATCCTCCTCGAATACCTCCTCACTGCTTACAAAATCAATCCTAGTCTTTATTCTGGCATTCACACTCTTCTACAATCTCACCCCAAACTCCTTGAAAGAAAGAAAGAAAGAAAGAAAGAAAGAAAGAAAGAAAGAAAGAAAGAAAGAAAGAAAGGTTGTATTTATTTATTTGAGAGAGAGAGAGAAAGAGAAATAGAGAGAGCATGAATGGGGTGGGGAGAGGGAGAAGCAGGGTCCCCGCTGAGCAGAGAGCCCAAAGCAGGGCTTGATCCCAGGACCCTGAGATCATGACTTGAGCCAAAGGCAGACACTTAACCAACTGAGTCACCCAGGTGCCACCCTCCCTGACCCAGTAAATTCCTTTTTTGATCTAATCTACAATTTCTTTACCTCTTTGAGAAACCAATTTACTCACTCTTCTCCAAAAATGGCTTTGTATCCATGGTCTCACTCATTGTTCACATCCTTTATTCACCAAGAAAATCTTTTTCTCCCTTCTTCCATTACTCAAAGTCCACTCATTCTAAAGTACAACTCAAAGTTTACTCCCATATAATTTTCTTTAGTCATCTTAGCACGAAGGAACTCTTCCCTCCCTCTTTCTCATGATAATATTTTTGTTGCATTATTGTTTAACAATAACATACTGCTTTATTCTATCATAAATTCGTATTTCAAAAAATAACACATACTATCTACCTATCCAGAGTGCAAACTTCATAAAGGTAAGGATTATGACTTATATTTCTTTTCAGTGAATATAAGGTTTAACTTAAAATTAGTAAGCATGTGTTTATTTGATTTTGATTGTGCAGTCCCGCATATTTGTAGATATGAAGACTTTTAACTCAGTTTAGGAATTTGACCCTCTGATCAATGTACACATTAAGGAAAAAATGCCAAGTTTTCACTGACTCTTTAGTTACTATACAATAATACTCAAATATTTTTTAATCCATTCAACATATTAGTTCAAAGTCCACACCCAAGGAAAAGCTGTCCAATAATTAGGAAGGTACTACTCTTCTAAAAAGATGTGTACTTTCAACACATTTCATTTTCAGTATCTGCAGAAAATGAATCCTGATTTTCCAAAACAAATTGAATTGCTGGTGCAGTGATCTAGATGATTTTATTTATTTTATTTTTTTTAAATTTTTATTTATTTATGACAGTCACACAGATAGAGAGAGAGGCAGAGACACAGGCAGAGGGAGAAGCAGGCTCCATGCACCGGGAGCCCGATATGGGATTCGATCCCTGGTCTCCAGGATCGCGCCCTGGGCCAAAGGCAGGCGCTAAACCGCTGTGCCACCCAGGGATCCCGATCTAGATGATTTTAATCAACAGTTAAATACTGCTACGCCAATCTAGTTATCTTCGATGATTAGATTTACTACATACTACTCTGTCACTTTTAAAGGATCCTCTTTGGACCAAAGCACAGGCAATGCATATTGCTTCCAGGAAATCATTTCTGAAAGAATTTGGCTGTTTATGTCTTTGGCCAGAATTATTTGAGTTTTGGCTTATAGTCTCTATTTTGCTTTCCTGGGAGAAACATGTACTCACAGCATCCTGGCTGCGAGGATGCCTCGCCAAAAGAAAACTGACACTCCTTTATCATGAAAGGGCAAGAGCTCTCCCAGTAGATTATTGGCATGTACTCTGAATGCAATGAAGCCACCCTTCATTTCATCCTTATCAAGTGTCTGATAAGACAAGACACTTTTCTAAGTATTATGAAAAACTCTGTGCTGGGTGTTGCAGACATACAAAATTATCCAAAGTTTACTCCAGATAGAGAAGCAATACCAAATAATAAGCATGCTCTATATCAGTAATAGGATAATAAATAAGTGCCATATTTAATTAGAAGAGAGTTTTGTGTGGGTTGGGAAAACTCAAAGAAGTTTCACAAAGGAAAGGGGTCAAACCAGTGGATCATTAGTAGAGGTGGGCCATTTAGTAGTCTCACCAGGGGATAGAAGTGCAAATGGCAAACTGTAGGCCAATAAGATGTAAAAAGAGAGCTTACACAAGGGTTTGTAAGTCAAAGAAGCTAGGTAATTTAGAAATACACTAGAGAAGAGTTCTCATAGTCGATGTTTTATCCTACAGACAATGGAGATTATTGAAAGTTTTGGAGCACCTGCAAAGTAGTGTTTTAATATCAAAGTGAGAAATAAGTAAATCACTAAACTAATTTTCAAAGAAAAAGAAATAGACAGGCAGCCCGGGTGGCTCAGCGGTTTAGCGCCACCTTTAGCCCAGGGCATGATCCTGGAGTCCGGGATCCAGTCTCACCTTAGGCTCCCTGCATGGAGCCTGCTTCTCCCTCTGCCTGTGTCTCTGCCTCTCTCTCTCTCTCTCTCTCTCTCTCTTTCTCTCTCTGTCTCTCATGAATAAATAAATAAAATCTTTAAAAAAAAGAAATAGAAGCAGAATCTTTTTTCATAAAAATCAAAGAAAGCTTAGGAATTAATAAAAGTCAGAGTCAGCATAATGAGTAGGAAGCATAGAATCTAACATTATAGCAGTTGGAACATAAAAAAGTAATAATATCGTGTAACTGAAATAATTTAGCACTTTCATTCGCATTTAGTGCTTTTTCCTGATTTTAAACAATGCATATTCATTGCCTAGAAAAATTCCTTAAAAAATTTTTTTTAAAGATTTTGTTTATTTTTTCATGAGAGACACACAGAGGGAGAGAGAGAGAGGCAGAGACACAGTCAGAGGGAGAAGCAGGCACCATTTAGGGAGCCTGATGGGACTCGATCCCGGGACTCCAGGATCACACCCTGGGCCAAAGGCAGGCGCTAAACTGCTGAGCCACCCAGAGATCCCCATTCCTTAGAAATTTTAACTGTGTAAAATATAACTGGAAACTTGGTGAGAAGGAAATTTTAAAGGAAAAATTTTAAATCTCTGTGATATAAAAGGGACATATCAAAAATCTTTGCTCCAAAATGCAAATACATTGTTTTTAGGGAAGACTTCATTCAAAACCTATTTACAGATACTTTTGACATGGTTATATCAAACTTCTATCTAGTTTATCTGTTTATAGCACTTTGGATAAAACAACTTAGAGGAGTTTTATTGCTAGGTGCTGGCATATTAATAACATCAGAAAATTAAAGCTCATGTTGAGACTAGAGACCAAAAAACATAAAAAATTTATACTCACTAGTTAGTATAGTCTCTTTAAGTATAAAACAAACATCTACTCATGTCTAAAATTACTGTAATTATAACAAAGTAATTTACATTCCTAACAACCTTGCATCATGAAGAAAACATAAAATTACATAGCATTTAATATGTTTACTATGGCTTGAGAGATGACTATCAAGAATAATTTTTTTAAAAAGTTTTGAACTTAAAAGAGAAATTTTCAATTATTTAAACAATTTCATAATTATTCAAAATGATAAGCAGTGATAATAATAGCTTAGGAAAGTTTATTACAACATTTTAACAATTAGAAAAATATAAAATATTAAAATAAATGATAAAATCATAAAAGTTTGCAATTATATTAAAAGTCAGTATGATTCTAAGAATTATCTGTAGAAATATCTGGAATACAAAGACACAGGTACAGAAGTCACTATTTTGAGACGTTTTTAATACTATTTCTCAGTCAGAATGCCACCACACTTAAAAGGAGTACTTCTTATGGAATCTGAATCTCTTTCTAGCAAAAAGTTAAAGCATGAGTTGTAATGTTATGGATACAAAATAATTGAGGGTTTTAATAAAATCATTATGCCTCTTAATAGGTTCATTAACGTTAGAAGTTCAGGTTGGCAAAAGTCAGCAGGAAAAGCAAGGATTTTAAAAGTTGGTGTAAGATGAGAAATGCTAACTGAAATATTTATCGCACTTATTTTATGTTTTGTGTCTCTACACATTTCTAATTTTTCCTCCCTAAACTTTTCCTCTTTCAGTAATTCTTCATTCTGGCAGTCAGCCTTTCCCAGTGGAGTCTATGTGATCTGAAGGAAAGTGACCACTTCCCCAGCTACAGGGGCGGACTCTGGATCAAATCATATCTGAAACTCTCTCTTATTCGATTTTTCTTTCTTTCTTTCTTTCTTTCTTTCTTTCTTTCTTTCTTTCTTTCTTTCTTTTTTTTAAGATTTATTTATTTATTTACTCATGAGAGACAGACAGAGAGGGGCAGAGACATAGGCAGAGGGAGAAGCAGGCTCCATGCAGAGAGCCCAATGTGAGACTGGATCCTGAGACTCCAGGATCATGCCCTGAGCCAAAGGCAGACAGACGCTGAACCGCTGAGCCACCCAGGCATCCCTCCTATTGGATTTTTCAATTATAAAGGTCAGTGTATTTTTTTTATTGTGTAAGTCATTTTGAATTTATTTTTGTTACATTATAAAAATGTTTGAAGTTATATGTTTATATATATGAAGGAAATATGTATATGTATGCACAGTTAAAATAATAATTTAAAAGGGGGACTCCTGGGTGGCTCAGTCGATTAAGCGTCTACCTTCAGCTCAGGTCATGATCCTGGGGTCTTAGGATAAAGCCCTGCGTGAGGTTACCTGCTCAGCAAGGAGTCTGCTTCTCCCTCTCCCTCTGTCCTGCCCCCACCTCAGGCTCGCACTCCTCTTTTTCTTTCAAATAAATAAATAAAATATAATTTAAAAAATAATAATGAAATGAACACTTATGTGGCAGACATCCAGCTTAAGAAATAAAATATTAGTGTCTCAAAAACCCCCTGAGTTCCCTTCCTTATTGTAGCTGGCTCCCCAACCCCACCGGTAAATATAGACACCAACCTGAATTTTCGATTAATCATTCCCTTACTTTCCTTTATGATTTTTTTTAAAGATTTTATTTATTTATTCATGAAGGACACAGAGACAGAGAAGAGAGGCAGAGACACAGGCAGAGGGAGAAGCAGGCTCCATGCAGGGAGCCCGACGTGGGACTCGATCCCACGTCTCTAGGATCGCGCCCTGGGCTGAAGGCGGCGCTAAACCACTGAGCCACCGGGGCTGCTCCCATCCTTTATGATTTTAGCTCCTACGTATATACTCCTATACAAAACTACTTCAAAATAATACTAAGATATTATCGGACTTTTTCACTTTCATTCTCTCACACTTGGACAGTGGAGTTTTCTAGAGGCTACATGACCCGTGATATTGCAACAGACTGAATACAGAAACAAGTAAGACAGTCCGGTTGTCTATTAAGCTTTCTCTATCAAAGAAATCCTCAAAAAAATATAAAACAATGTCACTTTTCTCACTCTTTGTTTTGGAAAATATAGGGATTTTTCAAAAACCATTATTTATGTTCACATGCAATTGGTCCTGTATTGTTATTTTGCAACAAGATGGATGGAGCTAGAGGGTGTTATGCTAAGCAAAATAAGTCAGTCAGAGAAAGACAAACACTGTATGATCTCACTCATATGTGGAACTTAAGAAACAAAACAGATGAACATAGAAAAGGAAAACAAGAGAGGCAAACCAGAAAACACTTTACAGAGAACAAACTGAGGGAGAGAGGTGGGTGGTGTATGGGCTAAATGGCTGGTAGCGATTCAGGAGGGCACTTGTGATGAGTAATGAGTGTTATATGTAAGTGATGAAATCACTAAATTCTACTGAAACTAATATTACACTATATGTTAACTAGAATTTATTTTTTTATTTTTATTCTTTTTAAGATTTTATTTATTTATGAGAGACACAGAGAGAGAGAGAGAGAGAGAGAGAGAGAGAGAGAGAGAGGCAGAGCCTCAGGCAGAGGGAGAAGCAGGCTCCATGCTGGGAACCCGATGTGGGACTCAATCCCAAGGATTCCAGGATCACACCTTGGACCGAAGGTGGTGCTAAACCCCTGAGCCACCCAGGCTGCCCAACTAACTAGAATTTAAATTAAAATGCAGAAAAAATGAAATAATAAACATTTTTTTAATTTATCAAATTTAATTTAATAAACATTGATAGGTATAGCCCACAGAAACAAAAACTCTGGGGTTCTTCAATAACTTTTAAGAATGTAAATAGGTTCTGAGACAAAAGTATCTGAGACAGATAACAGGAATAGTACTGCTAAGGTGAATACTATGCATATGTTTTTTGATCATTTTTCTTTTGGATTGCTGTTGCTCATAAATTTGTACAGTATTTTTGGACACTAATGATTTGCTTACACTCATAGCACATATTTTTTTACAATGTGACTAGTACTTTTCTATCCCTTTGTATTTTTTTTCAATCATAATGAGGTCTAATTTTTGCAACAAACAGATGGATCTTTTCCTCTTGTGGTTCATATCCTTGTATGTGTATTTTATTTCTAATAGATCCATCCTACTCAAAGTCACAAAGATATTTCCCTGTGTTTTCTTCTGTAAAAATATTTTCCTGGGTTTTCAAGTTTTCCTTTCATAGTAAGTCTTTTGTTTTCCCAGAACTGATTTTTGTGGGGTAAAGTACAAGTTCATTTTTTTCATGAACTGATTTTTTTATAAGTTAATATAAACAATAATGCTTCCTTCACACTGATATACAACGCCTGCTCTGTCATAAATCAGTTTTTTCCTCTGTGCCTGGGCCTGCTTGTGTAATCCCTTGTTCTACAAATTTCACAGCTATGTATCAGCCTTGTATGTGGAAGGGAGGGCAAATCATCTTATATTCTTCTTCTTTGGGAATTTCATGACTATTCTTGACTTCTTGCTCTTCCATGTTAATTTTAAAATTAATGTGTTTAGTTCCATGAAAAACCCCAACAAGACACCCATTAGAATCACCCTGAATCTATAGGTATATTAGGGGACAATTGCATTTTCATGATACTGAGTCTTTCTACCTGAGATTATGGAAGAACTTTTCATTCACTTGGATATTTTTTAAAACTTTTTCAATGTAGCTTATGCTTTTCTCTATTAAGGGTTTGCATAACTTTTGTTAGATCTATCCGTAGGTACCCAGTGGTAAGGATTGCTATGGTAGATAGCATCTGCCCTAACTACATTATTTACCTGCTCTTTGCCGCTATATAGATACACAATTGACTTTTGTATTGCTATGTTTTTATCAAACAATCTTGCTAAACTCTCTTATCAAATCTTGTAATTTATCTGTGAACTCTTGGGCTTTCTATATAAAGTCAGTTCTACTGTGAATAATGACAACTTTGTTTCCTCCTTTCTAATCATTATACCTTTTATCTCTTCTTTCCTTCTACAGAATCGAGGACTACAGGTTCAACAATGTTGAACAGCGATGGTGACAGAAGACATCTCTGTCTTGTTCCTCATTTAAGGACATGCTTTCACCATTACATTGGGAAGCTGTAGGGTTTTTGTGCAGGCTCGATAACAGGTCAAGAAAGTGCCCGTGTATTCTCAGTTTACTAAGAGTTTTTTCATGAATAGAGACACTCAATGTTTTTTCTGCATCTGTTGAGATGATCATATGAATTTATCCCTTGAATTGTTACTATAGAGAATTACATTAATATATTTGCTAATATTAAATTGTTTAACATTCTTATAATAAACTTAACCATGATGTATTACAATTTTTAGTTTGTTAGATTCAGTTTGTTAAATTTTTATTTTTGCATTGACATTCAAAAACAAAGTTGTACTATTTTTGTCTAATTTTGTTCCTAAGGTTATGTTAACCTCATAAAATGAATTGAGGAACACTCTTTCTCATTCTGTTTTCTGGAAGATTTTGTGTTATACTGGTTTGATCTGTTCTCTAAATGTTTGGCTAACTGACCAGTAAAGCCTCTATGCCTGATTTTGTTTGTTGCTTGTGTTTTTACTTTATGGAAAGATTTAAATTAGATTCAATTTCTCAAAAAAAAAATGTGTTAAAATCTCTTACTGTGGCAGTAAGTTTTTAAAAATATACTTGTAGTTCTGTGATACTATGCTTTGAAACCATCTTATTGGAGGCATGCAAATTTAGAATTATGCTCTTGATTAACTGAATATTTTATTATTGTAATAACCGTCTTTAAAGTCATTTTGTCTGATAGTAATATACTTAGATCACGTCTTCCTTATTTTATATTTGCCTGATGCCCCTTTGAGCCCTTGATTTTTAATTTTTCTACGTCCTTGTGTTTTACATCTGACTCCTACAAATTTGTTTCAATTACAGTGTCACAGTTTTGCTTTTTGACTGCAAAGTGGTGATTACTGGTACATTTAGATTTAATTGCACCTTCTTATCATGTGCTTTCTATTTGTCCATTTTTCATGCCTTTTCCTCTTTCCCCAATTTTTTTTCTCCCTTATCCTCATTATCAGCAGGCAGTCTCGCTTCCTATTTCACTGAGAAAAACAAGCAGACAGAGGAGAACCTCCAATAGTTCAGCCATCGCCATCTAGTCACTTGCACGCATCTGAATCCACCTATGTCCCTTTTCTTCCATTGGCTATTTCTCCCAGCAAAGACCAGCCCCCCATTTATGCACTAAATCCCTTCCCTTCTTACCTTCTCAGTGACCTGGCTCTAGCAATTCTACACTCACCATTCTTCATCATCCATCTTCTGCACTTTCTGGGATCTTTCCCATAATCACGTGCAGGATTTCTTTTTCCATCTTAAAATAGTCCTGTCTGTGGACGTTTTATTTCTCCTCTGGCTACCACTCAACTTCCCTTCTTCATTTTACAGCAAAACTTTTAAGAATAGCTGTGTAGTCACTGCCTCCAGTATCTGCTCTCCCATTCTTGGAACCAATTCACATGAGCTAAGTTACCAATGACCTTCACGCTTTCTATCTTGTTCTCATTTCTCATCCTGCTCAATCATACCAAAGCATTTGACACTGCTGATTATTCCCTCTTCCTTGAACTATTCTCTCCACTGGGCTTCCAAGACATTCAGCTGTCCTCCTTGTTCTCTTGCCTCATTAGTGGCATCTTAATTCCTTTGTCCTTTACTCCTTATCTTTCTCTCCACCAAACCCTGGAAGGTTCCAAAGCTCAATCCTTGGGATTCTTTTCTTTTTTAATGACTCTTACTCCATTGGTGACTTCACAGTTTAAATATTTTGTATGCCAATAACTACCAAGTTGATATCTCCAGATGTCCTTCTGAAGATCATAGGCAATTCCACACTTGTTATCTGTAATGTAACACTCCCAGATGGAACTCCTGATCTCTCCCCCTTCCTAATCTGATCCAAGATAGTCTCCCCCTTCTCACTGGATGGCAACTCTGCTGATCCTGTTGGTTAGGCCTAAATCCTTGGCATTATCCTAGATATCTTTCTTCTTTCAGTCCCCGTATCCAATCTGCAATCAAGTTCTTTGGCTTCACCCTTAGGATATATCAAGAATCCTACATTTCTCCCAGCCCCTCTCCTACCACTCTTGTCTGTACCACTAACAACACTCACCTGGATTATTATAATAGCCCCCTAACTGGTTTCCCAACTTCCATCCTTGTCTCCCTTCAGTCGATTTTTGGCACAGTAGCCACAGTTAGTATGTTAAAAATCTTCCAAGGTTTCTCATCTCACTCTTCATAAAAACTAAATTTCTTACATTAGCCTTTAAAGACCTAAACAATCTAGACCCACCCACATGGCCACATCCCACTCTCTGTTGGAGATCTCTGACCTCACATCCCACAGCTGATCTCCTGCAATCTGTTCTAGCCAAGCAATCCCACTCTCTGGACATGGCTCCCATCAATCTTCAGAGTCTTTCCACGTGATCCCCCCTTGTTAGGACACTTTTCTCTTGCAGGCTGCGGCTTCATTCCTCATCTCTTTCACTTTTAAAATGTTGCCTGGAGGCTTTCTTGACCACAATCCATATTTCCCTTTCTTACTTTGTTTTTCCTATAGCACTTATTAGCATCAGACATACTTTATGTAGCTTATTTGTTTTCTGTCTTCAGCCAGTAGAATTAGGGTCTCATTTTAGCACTCTGGTGCAAATGAGAATTTTACTTATCCCATTCAATGGCTCAGCCAGGTGTCTTTTTTTTTCTTTTTAAGATTTTGTTTATTTATTTGAGAGAGAGATAGAGTACAAAGTGGGAGAGGAGGAACAAAGGGAGAAGCCAACTCCCCACGGAGCAGGGAGCCCATCACAGGACTCAGGGCTCCATCCCAGGACTTCAGGATCATGACCTGAGCTGAAGGCAGATGCTTAACCAACTGAGCCACCCAGGCACCTCTCAGTCAGGTGTCTTTAGACAGTACATTATCACACACAGGACCAACAGCCCCGAGAACCAATGCATGCTTCATGAAAGCAGTGATCTGTTTTGCTTGTGTCCCAGCCCCTTAGAGTAGCACACACAGAACACTCAATAAATATTCGTAGAATAAACTAACAGTTTGTAAAACACACATAAAGTAAAAGTTATTAGTTAATGTTTTAAAATAAAACATGGGCTCTCTTAACTAAATGACATAGTCCTGGAAAATATAGGATTAACTTATATAATTTATGTCTTAACTAAATGACATAATCCTGAAAAACATAGCCTCAAAACAGTAATGACACCCAAAAATGGGTATATTTCCTGTAGCAAATTTAGTATAATATATTCACCACAGTAAAATAACTTAGGAAGATAAAAAGGCCTAGTATATACATTGAATTTTGGAAAGTCTGGGAATGCCTTTATTGTATAGTTGCATAATAAAGATAAGAACAAAAGAAGTGTTGTCCCTGGCATTTTTAAGCCAGTGGCCTATTTCTTTTTGCCTTCACAAAGATTCACTGCAAATTTTAAAGAGCTCTTTAAAGTGGTAAAACCTGTGGTGATTTGTTTAAATACCTGATTGCTCAAAATTAACCAACAGGAAAAGAATAAAGAGATTATAGAAAGCCTGTAGATGGTATCTTTCCCAGTGTCTCTTCTTTTCCTAATCTTCTCTGATCCCTTTACAGTCATTGTGTCAAACATTTATGTTTATAGAACTAGCATTTGGGTTTTCTTTCTTTCTTTCTTTCTTTCTTTTTTTTTTTTTTGAAAGATTTTATTTACTTATTTGAGAGGAAGTGCAAGAGAGACAGAGGGGAGAGGCAGAGGGAGAGGAAGAAGCAGATTTCCCGCTGAGCAGGGAGTTCTATCCCAGGACTCTGAGATCATGACCTGAGCAGAAGGCAGATGCTTAACTGCTTAACTGCTTAATGGACTGAGCCACCTAGGCGCCCCTTGGGTTTTGTTTCTTAAAGCTGATTGCTTTCATGGGTATTAACAACAGGATTTGTAATGTTGGAGATAACTCAATTATTCCTGGAAACTACATCTTAAACCAGGCATTTAAAAAATGATGAGGGATCCCTGGGTGGCGCAGCGGTTTGGCGCCTGCCTTTGGCCCAGGGCGCGATCCTGGAGACCCGGGATCGAATCCCACGTTGGGCTCCCGGTGCATGGAGCCTGCTTCTCCATCTGCCTGTGTCTCTGCCTCTCTCTCCTTCTCTCTCTGTGACTGTCATAAATAAATAAAAAAAAAAAATAAAACATTAAAAAAAAAAAAAAAAAAAAAAAAAAAAAAAAAAAAAATAAAAAATGATGAAATGACAAGAAATCATGAAATAATGTTTTTGTGATTTTTTTAAATAATGAAACAAAGAAAGAAATAGTGTCCTGGAAAAAAAAAAAGTGTTAATGGCTATATTTTTAAAGTTCTTATGAGAGAGATGGGAAATAGGTATTACTTATAGAAAATGAGAGTGAATATTTTTTGGTCTATAAACAAGTTTATCCATCACTGCATAACACATTGCCCCCAATACTGACGGCTTAAAACAACAACTAATTACTCCTCACAGTTCTGTGAGTTGACTGACCTCATCTTGGTGATTGTCATTTGGAATCTTTCATGTTTATGCCATCAGGTGGTAGCTGTGGCTAAGATCATCTGAAGGTTTAATGTTGGACATTCAAGATAGCTTCTTCACTCATAGGATTTACATCTCAGTTGAGTGGTCTGGTCAGGCATCTGTCTCTGCACATTGTCTATGAGTCTAGGTTGGGTATCCTCACAGCCTGGTGGTCTCATGGTAAATTTCAAAAATGGTACTCGCTTCCCCCAGGACAAGGGTTCTAAGAGACCAAGGAGGAAGCTACAAGGCTTCTTGTGTTCTATCCTTAGAAGTCACAAAGCATTGCGACTACTGTAGTCTATTTGTTATATGGAGCCAGCCCAGATTCAGTGTGGGGAAAGACTATACAAGGCATGAAGACTGGAAGGTATAACTCACTGGAAGGCCGTCTTTGGAGATCAGCTACCACAAGGGTTTTCTCCATTTTACATGGTGGCTGGTAAAGATGTTGCCCAAAATGTCATCAAAAGAATATGATGAGTTAAAAAAAAATAGAAAAAAATCAGGAATGATTCTTTAACTACTATGCAGCCAAGTGTGAACTTTCCAGTTAATTTTTCAATCTTTAGATAATCTATATAGTACCTACTTCTGACCATTTTCCCTTCTGCTCTTTGGAGAATTTATCTGTGTATTCAAACTGATCCCAAAGAATGAGAAAAGGGCCAACCACCCATCAACTCCCAGTAATACCACAAGAAAGTCAGACACCTTGAAAGACACATCTCTGTATTAAGTACTAGGTGTGCATGACAATGTATCACAGAACAATAGTTAGTATACTGAAAGTGTCATAGAATTTTAGACATTGAAGGGATCTGAAGATCAGTCTTCATTTTCAAGACACCACCTAAGACCCAGAGTTGTTAAGCCACTTACTAAGGCTCACATAAGTCATTGAAGACATTCTAACTTCTGGTCCATAAATTTGTGCTG